AATTCAGGAGCGGTGGGAGGCTTTGTGCTCGGCATGGCAGGGGAACATCAAGCTGAAGTGCCGAGCGCACGGAGGTTTGTGCAGACAGAAGAAATCAACCCTGAACGTGGCAGGAACTCCTTGCCAACCATGGTCCAGATGTGGCAAAAAACTTGGAGGAAACGATCGACGCAGCGACGTTACCTTGGCGTGGCTGTGCTGGCTGTTGCATGCACAGCCAGCAGTCGCCATACATGAGAATGTGGTTGGGTTTGATAGCTCTATCATCACCACATGTGTGGGTTCGCTGTACAGTGTCATCATCCTGCCTGTCAAGCCTGGCAATGCTGGATTTGTCTTCGCTGGTCGCCCTCGCCAGTTTGCCGTACTGGTGCGGAAAGACTTGGTCATCACGCATGACATGTTGCGTGTTTTACATGCAGCTTCGGAATACATCAACAACAGAGTTGGGTGCTCGCAAGTGTCCGCATGCATGGCTGTAACGTCTGATGAGGAACGTTTGCAGTGTGAGAACAAAGCAAGGAAGAAGCGAGGGTTGCATCCGCTGACGAAGGCAAGCGATGATTGGAGTTATCTGCTCACGGACAAGCAGCGCCAGTACCTCAAGAACTACATACAACGTTGGACGTCGAGCAGTGGCTTGGAACATCCACCAGCATTGTTCCCTGATGACCTGCTTATGAACTTGGCGCAGGACCCGCTTGTGAGACCAGGCACTTTCCGCTACATGCCTACACTTCGAGCCAGCGGAAACATTCTTTGGAGCCCTGCAAAGAAGAGATGGATGCTGGAGAGTGAGTTGGCACTCGCCATGGGGTGGCCCAGAGTGCAAGCCGTTGCTTCAGCAGCTTCAATGCCCGTGGACAATTTTGACTACAGTGTGTCTCAGCTCGGCAATTCCATGCACGTGTATTCTGTGACGCTCGTTTTGGCAGTGGCGCTGGCATGTACAAAGCAAGTCTAAAAGCTTATTCTGCGCCACGACGAATGAAGCAACATAGAGAAAACGGTTCTAAGTCCCTGCTTGGAGTATGCTTCGAACAGCAAGAAGCTGATGGGCTTTGTGTTTTGCATCTTAGGGCCCAGAAGGTGTGTGCTTCCAGGGGGTTGGCTGTTAATGTGGTACCTTCCAGTAGTGTCCCCCCCCCCATCCCCCTACACCCCTAAGGGTCCTTGTGATTTAGGATTCCACTAGCATTCTAGTAAGTGTGTAGTAAGGTACTATTAAGGTTATATTAAGGTCGTATTGAGGTTGTATTGAGGCTGTATTAAGATTATACTAGGGAGGGATTTACTTGCTACTAGGGCTAGAGTATAAGGGTTTTGTTTGTGTTTCACTGCAAAGGAGTTTCATTGAGCTTTATTGGTCGTATTCGGGTGAAAGGGCTGACATTTGGGGTTTGGATTTGGGGTGTATAGGAGTTTCCGCAAATAGGGGAGCCAAATATAATACCCTATATAGTAGGATCCTTATTATTAGGACCCCACAATAAGGTACCCCTCATTTTCGGAAACTCCGGTATACAGTGCGGTAGGTGTGCTTCAGTGAGACTGGGGTCGGAGGCACTCTCACGCTCAGGGTTGAAGGCTCAATCCACGAACCCTGCTGAGGGGCAGCGATTCGCTGCCGGCATCACTACTCTGTGGAGCTTCAGGAAAGGTTCAGCTACTTCTCCTGAGGAAGATGCACGTCAACCCTTAGCTATCTGATATATATATATATACATACATACATACATACATACATACATACATACTCCTAGCCCAGAAATACATCCTCGGGCGTGAAACCGTCTCGAAGGCTCCTCGGTTACCGCATTGGGCTGCAGACCTCTGGCGGGGAGCTCGGCACAGAGCAGCAGAGCCTGGCGAGGGACTCTGCTGCTAGGAACATCTGGCAGCGACCTCCCCCCCTGGCTAGAGCTCAGATAACCCCCGAAACCCCAAAATGGGAGCTTCCGAAAGATAGGGGTACCGAAATCAGGGGTCCGTATAACAAGGATCCAAATATTAGGGGACTAGATTACTAGATTAGGGTACCCTACTTTCGGAAACCCCCAAATCGTTTCGTAAGCTTTTGGATAGGCCCCCTGGGCAGGACATGAACGGGGTCTGAGTGACAGGTACCTGCGGTTTGGATGTTGGGCACAATGGTCGGTGCAGGCCGGGGGGGGGTAGGGGGCTCTAGTACCTATGACAAGGACTCAATGAGGCCCATGTAAGGAAGTATGGTCCCCTACTCCCCCCCCCCCCCGCCCCTACCCCCCTAAGTCCCTAAGGCTCCCTATGACTAAAGGGCCCTAAACCCTAAACCCCCCTAAACCCCAAACCATAAACCCTAAAGGGCCAAGTCGCTCTCCCCTCTTCTGAGGGGCAAACAAAGATCGCAGGACCGCGCGGTGCGCGCGTTCTCCAAGGCCTCCCTGTGGCAAAATGTCCTGGAGGTGGGCCACCTTTCTACTGTAAAGGAGGGTTCTGCTTAAAAGGCCTATCAATGTGCGAATGAAACTTATTTTCTTCCCTTTATGATTATGGGGGCAGGTTCAGCAGTGTCTTAAAGGGCCGCTGTCGGGGGTCATTCAGACCCTTTTATAAAACCTCTCGTAAGACGTCCCTAAACCCTGAACCCTAACTTTCGTAAGGCAACACGGGGTGCTCCGGGGCCAGGTCTTCTGGACGGCCTCCAAAGCCCAGCGGGGGACTGCCCGCCTCCACAACGCGGCGATCACTGCGCAGCTTGGGTTTAGGGATTAGGGTTTAGGCTTTAGGTTTAGGGTGTCAGCGCCTAAGGTCTATAGTCTATAGGGTTTATAGGGATACCCAGGAGTGGATGCATCAAACCCGCAGCATGCATTCCGATACCCCATGAACCCTAAACTCCCACACGGAAACCCCAAACCCAAGTCCGAACTGCGAAACCAAAGCTCTAAACTAAAAACTTTAAACCCTCGACCCTAATCCCAACAGCCGTACAGTCCTAAAGCTTAAGCCCAGCAAGGTACGGCCGGGGGCAGCACTGGCGGAATGCCCTCTCCTTATTCGAGGCAAGTGGGATGAAGGTAGGTGGGCTAATCCCGAAATAAGAGTCCTTACGCAAGAGACCCTTAATCCTACCACCTTCATCCCACCTTTTGAGGCCTCCAAGAGGGTGCTTGTCAAAAACAGGGTCCCTTTTTGGGTCCCTATTATTATACGGCACCTACTGTTTAAGGTACCCAAAACGGGATTGTAATTTTGACAACCATCCAAGAGCTTTCCTGCATTCTGAGGGGAGCCAGGCGAAAGAAGACGTTTTGTTGGTTCTCTCAAGTCCTGTTTTCAGCTTTCAAGCGTGAGTTTACCTAACCTGAAACCCTAAACTCATAAATAAGTTTAAAAACCCGAAACCTTAAATTCACAAAAAATCTAAAGCCTCATAAGGCTTGTTTTCCGCAAGGCTTCTGATTGACAGGTTGAGGCTTGTCGAGGGAAGGGCCAAGGGTTGAATGAGTTTCGCTGCAACGCTTTGGTTTTGAGGTGGTCATGCGTAGCTGGGTCCTACGGCTGATGAATATAAATCCAGCATTACCCATAACAAGGAATATACCACATTTCCCATAGTTTAGGGTCCTTGAGGTAATGCAGGATTTATATCATCAACCATAGTTAAGGAATTCAATAGAAGTTACCACAATAAGGAATCCATATTATTTACCAAACATGCCTATTGTGGTAACTTATACTACTTCTTTGACAAGGACCCAGTCATGAGTAACGAAAGAGGCTCGTGAGCTTCAGCGTTTGAGGGCTTTGGCGGTTCAGGCCTTGCGGGTTTTAGGGGTTTGAGTCAGAGGGTGCAGGCTTGAAACGGTTAGACTCACCGAGCCCTACAACCCCGGCCCACAACCAACACGGCACACCATAGATGTATGAATGCCCCTGTAACTCCTCACCCCGCACCCTAACGTGAGTGGGATAGGATTGTGTGTGGCCGGACAGCTGTGCTGCTCCAGCAGAACAAGGTACCTGGCTCCAAGATCTCATCATGTAAATTGCTTCCTGAACCCCAAACCCAAAAGCCTTGCGCCCTGATAAATTAAGGTTTGCTGAAATTGTAAACACCAAAGCTGACGCACTCATTCGCGATGGCATGTCCGTGCATCCAACATGTAGGGGCCAACAATGGTGGTGCTATGCGGCCATCGCCAAATCGCGAACCCACAGACTCCAGTGTCCCTTCTTAGTTAAGGGATAAAGGGATAAACTAAGTGCACACACTGGTATAGCACGGCTCTCCCCTTGGCAACCACGTGCGCAATTGCCAATCATAGTACTGCCATTCGTTTGGTGTTCAGTAGTACCAGTATCAGGGTAAGTACCAGCACTAGTATTAGTATGAGTACTCGTACTATTGGTATTAGTATTAGTAGGACTCGTATTGGCATCAGTACCTGTATTGGGATCAATATCAGCATTAGCGTTGGAAGATGAGGGACTTAGTCCCTGGGTACTTCGTCATGATCCTTTAAGTAGGCTATGGCATACTGCATAATATTAATATAAGGGCCTAGGGCATTGGGGCCGATTACACTATAACTATAAGGAACCCCCCAACTAGTATTGGTAACTCGTAATGCCCCTAGATTGGTGCGCCCTTTGTTTTGAACCTGGACCAATTCTACCCAAAAAGAATCGCACATGGAAGCCTTACGCTCTGGGCAGGCCTGCGCCGCCGTGGACGATATCAGACCAGTGATGCAAGAGCAAAAAGGTTGGTAAGGACTACTTTTATATGCTGACGTCGATATGCCCTACAAAGCAATGTGCCTCTAATCTCTAATTATCCATTATCATCCGAAGCAGCGGATCACTTCGCGAGCCGGCAGCAGCAAAAGGTCGTCGCAGTTGACAGGTCCAACAGAAAGTTGTATCGGCCCGCCCTGAGGACCCCTTGAAGGAGCCCCTAAGAAGATGGCTCCCTAGCACGGAGCTCCTTACAGACCCCTAGACGAAAGCAGCAGGAGGAGTCCGAAGATGATGATCCAGATGGCGCAGCTAAGCGGTAATATCAGGATTATTTAGGATTTAGGTGTAAATAGGACTGGGATTGGGTAGGCCTTTGAGATTGTTGTGTACAACTTAAGAAGATCTTATTTACGAATATTTTTCAGAGACTCCAAGGGGCCAACCTGGGGGAGTTTTAGGTTTCGCGTGTTATCAAGATGTAGGGTATATGTTAATTTTAGCATTTTGGAGGGTTGAGAGTTTAGCTTTTAGGCGTGTGTATGTTGGTTTCGGAGTTGTGGGCTGTGGGCTCTTTGAGGGTTTCAGGGCTTTAGTTTCGGGTGGCAGGAGCTTGAGGCGTTTGTGGGTTCTGGCTCTAGGGGTTCAGACAAGGGTTTCTGTTACGGGTGACCATCGACATCCACGGGACCTCCACCTAAGACGACCATCCCTTTAATTGCAGCAGGACCAACTAGCCAAAGCATCTACGCACTAAACATCGACCCCAAGCCATATTTACTACATAGTTGCTAAACCCAAACCCAAATTGTCGACCCTTTATGTCTTAGTAGCTGGGTAGATAACCTTTAACCGTTTGGGCTGAACCATGTTGAAAAGGTCAACCTTTCGTGGGCTAGGGCACATAGAGGGTAAGATGTAGAATCTTGACTCAGTAGTCGAATTTATTCCCTGGGTTCAGGACCATAACATGGCACAAGAGACCCCCCAAAAAAGCATCCTTATAAGTAGGGTTACAAGTAGGGTAATTATACTTACAACCGAAATAAGGGGACTTATAACTCCAGTTATAACTACCCAAGAACCTCCAAGTAGTAAGTAGCATGGTTGGAAGTTGAAAGTATGTCTGAAAGCCCAACCGCCTGGGTGCATCTAAGACCGTCACCCTGCGCCTCCAGGCGCTAGAATCGAGAAATGCTATCAACAGTCAAGCATCTTGCATGGCTTTGCTTCCCTGTGTTGAGCCTACTTCTACAGGTCAGGTGCATACACATCGTATGCGTACATGTGCGTATAAAGGCATATACATACACATGCTTTTATTTATTTGCACCTACACTATGTAGTGTTCATATGCATGTACATATCTCTGTGTGCGCGTGCGTATATACGTTTCTACACACATGAGTGCGTGTCTATGTATATACATACACACAAATAGATATGTGTATATATATACCGGTATAGATGTAGATATGGATACGGTATAGACCTTGACAACGGTATATAGCTCCAGATGCAGATACAGAAACAGATCTACATCTACATATATATATATATATATATATATAGTCTACATATGAACAGCATATATATATATATATATATATATATATTTATTGGTACATACACAGATACATGCAGAGAGACATGCATACCTACCTACGCGCACATACACACTTACACACGCATTGTATACATGCGCGCGCATAGGCAAGCTCAAACGCCTCCGAACTCAAGCGCCTCCGAATTTTTGTTTTTTGTGGTTTTAGCCCTGGGTGTTGGAGTTCGAAGCGGACCTCTCCCAGCTCAGGAGCACAAAACGAATCTGAGGACGACCCAGCTGCAGTCGTTAAGATTTAGGGCCTTTGGGGTTTTGGTAGGGTGGGGGTGGGGGGGGGGGGGGGGTGTTAGTTAGGGTTTGAGAGATTGGGGTGTAGGATTCACAAGCTTTAGGAGTTTAGGGCTTTGGGATGCTGGCAGCTCAGGATATAAGGGGTTTTGGGTTTTCTCATGTGGCTGTTCGGGGATGCTAAAAGTAGGGGTGGCACCAGACTTAGCGGCCTGGACTGTTCGTCACGATATCCCCTTCTAGAATAAATTCGTCCCCCCACTTGGTTACAATGACAGCATTTATTTTATCCGCGAAGCCCTGTCCTCATGTACGAAGGCCCTTGAAACGCGTTCAGATCTGGGTTTCTGCGTGTGGGGTAAGATTGGTTGAGGCTTTAGTAGTAGTTTGATTTTGGGCCGTGGAATTTAGGAGTCTGTTGTTGCTGCTGCTGCTGCTGCTGCTGCTGCTGCTGCTGCTGCTGCTGCTGCTTTTATTATTGCCGGTTTTGTTGGTGTTGTTATTGCTGCTTCTCCATGCTTATTTCGCTGCAAGCTTAGAAAATGGTGCAGATCATGCAGCTTGTGCTTCGAGAAAGATGCAAAAAGCAGCTGCTTTCAGTTAAAAGCAACTCCATACAGCTGGACAGGGTGTGTGGCCGATTATTGCATCAGACGTGTGGTGGCCAGTTCTACAACAGGTATGACTGTTGAGGCTGTTGCATCAAAGTGCATTCCCTGGCGAGAGCTTCTGGTCCTTGCTGGGTTTCGCGAAAGTTTCACGAAGTGCAGGCCCCGCAGCTGTCTGAATAAGACCAGCAGGTTATGGGTTGAGGCAGGGGGATGCAGCTTGCAAGTTGCTTCCCATCTTCAAGAAGAACAAAAAGTTAGTAGAATATAATGGTGGCACATATGTCTGTGACATTGATATCTTCTACTGGAAGAATTGCCTTAAAGCGAAAACTTCAACTGCGGCGATGTGAGGTCGCTTACCGCGCTTACTTAAGGAATAGACCTTCAAACGTAGCATCAAGGACCCCAGTGATGCAGGCGTAAACTTGGGTCCCTTATTTTCTGAAAACCGCAACCCCGGACGCCTTAAACCCTGAGACCTTAAGCCCTAAACTCTTATAGCCTTGTAAGCTTGGGGCTGAGAGCGCAGGCTATGCTGAGAGGGTTGCGGGGTTAGTTATTCGCTGGCTGGGGGGAGTTGGTTGGGTTCAGGGTCTGGTTTTAGGGTTTAAGCTGCAGACTACTTGCAGAATTGGCAGATATGCCTGGCAGTTTTCGTAAAACTAGTCCATAGCAGTGCCAGGTGAAACCCTTATAAAAACCGTATGAAACTTATGTAAAACCCAACCCAGGGGCCTGACAATGTCCACTACTAGTCCCTAGGTTCCGGATTTTATAAATACCCCAAAACCCTATTCTGGTTATTAAGGCCCCTCCTCCCAAATCCATTAACGTACACTCGCCCTTGTAAGAAATGTTTTGGTAACCTTTCATGAACCCTGAGGGAACCTTACACCGTTTGAGTATCCCTTAAGTAACCCATAAAGACCTCATAAATGACTATAGAATCCCAAATAAGGAGCCCTGTCTGATTTTAGCGACCCGAGAAGAACCCAACAGGAACCTCATATGGTTTCAGCAACCCTCCAAGAACCCTAAAGTAGCCCTATACTACTTCAGTAACCCTTAAAGGACCCTAAAGGAGCCCTAAACCCCAAACCCTAAGCCCGAAGCCATATATTACAGTAACCCTCAAAGGACCCTAAAGGAAGCCTATATTACTTGCAAAGCAACCCTAAGCCCTAAACCCTAAAACCTAAACCCTGAACCCTACACCTAAACCTCTAAACCCTACACCCTAAATCCTAAACCCTAAACCGCTATATTACCTGCAAAAGCTGCAGGATGAGCCAAATCGATTACGACGCTTTAGCTTCCGGCGGTGCCATCACCACAAAGTGCCTTGGAGGCGATCAAGGCAGGGTTTTGGGTTTGGGGTTTGACCCCTGTAAACGTAGATAGTGAACGGGGGAACTTGAATTTTTTTCGCCTTATACAGTAGCTCTATCTTAGAAAGTTTGAACTTTTTGGGGCCCGGTTGTTGAAGAAGAGAGTAAATCCCTTTGAAGCTCGTTACACACACATGGTCTAGGGTTCAGGGCTTAAGGTTGTTGATTGCCGTCCAGTGGCAGTACCATAGCACCGGGATGGAGTGTCTTCCTATCGAACACCTCACGGTTCAAGACTTGGTTGGTCATATATACATATATGTATATAAGTATATATGAATATATGCATATATGTATATATAAGAGTATATATATATATATATTAGAATCCTGACACAAACACTATATGCTCAGTAACCCGTCCCAATTAGTAAGGCCAGTGTTCAAGCCCTGGATGCAACTCGGTATTCCGTCTACCGAGGGCTCCGGCGCCCGCGTCTTCAGAGGACAAGCCTGCGACAAAGGCTGCGGTAAGGGCTTCACATGGGTTTTGAGTACCATGCTTGAATACGTTTTTCGGTACATGTTCCTTAAAGGAAGCATTATGAACTAAAAGTCTATCCTTTTTCTCCCTGGGTACTTCTCGGCCCTAGTTGAAAGAGTTTACGGTTCAGGTTTTATCGTCCGAAGGAGCTCAGGGTTTGAGCCTATGGGTCGGCAGCTGGGCTGTGGAGTACCATACTTTAATACCTTTTTCTTAAACGAACCACTATGAAATACAAGTTTATACTTTTTCTTTTTGGTTATTTAAAAGCCCAGGCATTATCAGTTGTTAGCTTGACTCATCTACCGTATGCTGTACAACTAAACTGTAACATACCCCAACACCCTACTCGAATGGGTTTCCGAGACTAGGATTGTGTGCAGCATTTAGAGTCGAGGGTCTCGGGTTTCAAGTGGAGCTTCAGATTGACTTGGTGCTGAAGGTTCATCATTTTGAGAGGTTTTGACATGATGTGGTCGTACTTCTGCCGTCTTCTACCTACGAAATAGATTCTTCGGACCATTGCAGACACGCACACAGAAGTCAGAAGGGGCCCTGTGGCTCAGTTCACAAGGTTCAGGGAGCCCTGAATCCAGAAACCCAACAAACCTTAAAGCTTAAGCCACAAAACCTTGAATGAACCCCCTAACACCCTACTAAACCAAACTCTGAGGCCTAAACCCTAAAACCCTACTAAACCTAAGCCCCGGAACCCAAGAATCTTCAACTCTAAAGGCAGCTGCAGCGGCCAAGACCCACACCAATGCGGCAACTGCGGCGGCAGAGGTGCCGTGCGATGTGGGAGTTTCCGAAAATTAGGGGTACCTTATCATTATTATGGGGTCCTTATAGTAAGGATCCTACTATACAGGTTACTGTACTAGGGTCGCCTGTTTTTGGAAACTCCCATATGGGGTTCAGGCTTTAGGGCTTTGGGGTTGGAGCCGGTTACTTGGAGGGTCCGGGGACTTAGGTAGTAAGTAGACATACGAGTACCCTAAAAGGGACCCTAATTGGGGTTATGGTACTTATAAGTCCTTAAAATAACCTATTTCATCAGTCCCCAGACCCTCCAAGTAGGGGTTAGGCGTAGTGGCTTAGCTGCCTTTTCACAGCTCTTCAAGTGGTAACAGCCCTACATCCTAAAGCCCAAACCTTAAAGCCCTGAGCCGGTATAGCCCTCATATTGCAGCAACCCCTAAAGCAGCAGTAGTTATATGATGAGAAGCATTCTCCATCCCGCTCTATATACTTATTCGGGCCCCTGTCAGAACCCCCTTGGAAAACCATGATAGGCCTATGAAGCCCCTCAGGACCACTTAACACTCTCATCAAAAACAACTCCGGTCTTCATCCAACGTAGCGGCTGTTTTCCTGAACCGTTAAGCCCTTGAGCCCATGCGAGTTGCATGTGCATGTGCGTCCTTCAACTGCGCGGGCTGCTTCAAGTGCTGTGCCCATGATCCAGCATGCCTGCTTCAGAAGACATGGAACTCCATTTTGACGAAAGATGGCAACGAAGAGCTGCGACCCCATTATTTTCAGATAGTTGCTCACGAAGGCACGGTTGTTGCTCGGGAGTGGCTCACGCAAACACTTGCCGACCGCGATGGCTTGAAGCTCGCTCAAGCGAATCTCAAGAAGGAACAGAGCAAAGAGGAGAACCATTCCGAGAGACTGCAGGACAAGTCGGACAAGCACCAGAAGCGCTCTTTGATCCGGCAAAGGATGCTGTCGAGGGAGTATTGCCATGGCTTCCATTTTCATGACGATGCAAGCCTTGCTTCAGCTGGTCCTTTTTTGGTGGGGCCTACGCGGCGCCCAACAGAAAGCAAGGCACTCCTGGGACTAGCCCTGAAGCCGAGCCACCCATGAACCTTCAACTCACCAGGGTTCTACAACACAAGGATTCGACCGGCGCTGCTCGCAGGATCTGAGAGGTTGACCGGTGATGTCTGCGTCGCTATGGCACTCGAGGTCATCAGCAAGCTACTTCCCACCCAGACCCCCGGGAATCTAGAAAGTAGATTCCTTAATTATACTACTAAGGGTACTTTATAGGAACCCCCATTAAGGGATCTACTTTTTGGATCTTTTGGGGGTAAGGGCAATGATTGATGGCCACGATTTCGGATCTTGGGTCGGGTCGGCCAAGGGTTTGTGGTACTGGGTCATGGGTTTGGGGATTTCGGGGTTTGGCTCCGGGCGGGTCCGTTGCGATTCGGGGCCGAGTATTCCGCCGATAAGTGCGGGCTTATCACTCTACTCATGCCTACCCATGTAGAAAAAAAGACAGGACCTCAGACCCTCAACCCCTCAAACAAAATTTTCGGATACCCTAGATACCGCCCAAACCAACCCTAAATCCCTAAACACTAAACCCTAAACCCGCAACCCCAAACCGAAACCCCTAAACCTCTAAAATCCTTAATTACGATATATATATATATACACACACACCTTAATTTAAGTTACAGGGGCTTTCATGTCATGCTTTGAGAAGTTGTTCCCTTAATTCTTGGGCTCTCTGGGTCTGAAGCCCTAAACCGTAAGCCCCTAAGCCCCCAAAACCCAAACCCCAAATCCCAAAATCCTTAATTACGACATATACCTTACTCTGGGTTTCAAACTCTAAACCGTAAACCCCTAAGCCCCTACTTGGAGGTTCATGGGTAGTTATAAGTGGGGTTACAATTAGGGTACTATACTTGTATCCCATATTAGGGGACTTATAACCCTACTTGCAACTACCCCTGAAACCCTAAACCCTAAACCACCCCTAAAACCCAAAACCCATGAGTGAGGCTCCAAGAGCCACCCCGGCGGAAGAAGAGAAAAAGCCCGAGCCGGTCGCGACGGCCTTGGAAAGCCTTGAACTCTTTTTGGCTTTGCTTGGAGGTTCTTGGCTAGTTATAAGTCCCCTATTATGGGTTATCATTACAGTTACCCTACTTATAATCCCACTTATAACTACCCATGAACCTCCAAGTAGGGTTCAGGGTTTTATTTTAGGGGTTTAGGAAGCTTTTGGGATACTTTGATGGGCATGCAAGGGACTACAAGGGTGCAATAACGGTTCGATGAAGGGTTCTATGAGGGAACTGTAAGGGGTTCGTTAAGGGTTCTACTGGACAGCTTTTTCGGTGCAGGGCGTCAGGGTTTAAGGTTTAGGGTTTGAGGGCATATGTGGGTGCAGGGGTTCAGGATGCCCAGTAGTACCCTTATTCCCTTTTATTAAACCTAGTTTCCTTATAAAGCTACCCAATACTGTACCAAAAAGGGAGCCCCTGTTATTCCTAGGTTGCTGGGCATCCTAAGCACAATAATAGTTTTAACAGGGTTCCCTTTCAAGGGGTCTATCAGGGGAACTTTTACGGATCTGTATATACGGGTACTGACAAGTAGGAGAAAGCTTGAAGCTTTTTCGATGTATGTCGGGTCAGACTTAAGGACGCAAGGGGTTGAAGGGATTAGGGTTTACATAGGGTTCAGGGTACCCGAGGAATCCAGAGAGCCCAACAACCTGGGTTTGGAGTACCATACTTGGATACTTGTTTTGGTACCTGTTCCTTAAAGGAACCATTATGAAATAAAAGATTACCCATTTTCTCCGTGGGTATTAAGGACCCAAAAAAGGACCCTAATTTTGACAACCACCCATTATTTCCTCGGGGTAAAGGGGCTTCATGGGGTTTAGAGGCTTAGCTGGCTTTGGGGTGTGGCATGTTGCACTTGTTTGGTTTAGGGTGGTCAGGAGTTTACGGGTTTGGGGCTAAGGTATCGGTGTAGTACTGCAGAAGCCTCTAGCAGTATCCCTTTCGTAGTCCCTAACTCAACACGTTCAACGTGGCAGGACGCTTATGTGCAACAGATGAACAGAGAGATTGACGGAAAGACGGAAGCCGACAGAGCCATTGCCTAGATTGCAGGAAGAGACAACGGAGGTTTCCCGGGCAACGCGATGGTTTCTTTTATGATGGTCAAGACTTTCCGACGGCTAGGTTGCAAGGAACCGTCGAAAAATATCTTCTGATGGCGCCGCTCCAAGTTCAAAGAAATTCAGCGTCAGTGGTACGAGCACCATACGACCTGATAATTCAAGACGGACTTGTAGTGGTCGCTACCACAAGGAAAAGAATCGTGTCATATTTGCAGGGAGTGACCGGAGGCGACGCGATTATTGGAATGATCAAAGGCGGTCGAGGGATTTCGAGACGCCAACTGGATGCGTCGCTGGCCGCATACCGGGAGCGGGGCGGCAAGGCGGACCCTGCCTGTGGAAGCGAGTAAACTTCGTGAAGAACCTGGTGCCGCAGTCCACAAGACTCTTCGGCGGCACCACAAACCTGAAGCATTAGCAGTCCCAGCAGCAGGGCCATGATCGAAACCTCCCGCAGAGCTAAGTAGAAGACGACACAGCCGAGCAGCTTTTTCTCAGACTGTGCACAGTATGAAAAGCCGCAAATGTGATTTGAGATGTCAGATCTGCTCCTAAAAGTCCGATAACCAATTTCTTCAAACTCAGGATTACTTTGTCGTAGTCGTAGTTGGGTAACATCACAAAACCCAAGAAAGGAATAGATATGTTGATGTTTAATGCTTTCCCAGCCATGAACTAGATTTTCTGTCGGCCTGCAATAGGAGCACCAGCAGCCAGCGGAACAGATGTACATACGAATAATGTCACAGACCCCCTTCCCCCAACACAAAAAAGTTTCTCGGGCCGTAAAATCGCAAAACATTCCCTGAACCCTCAACCCTAAACCCCTAAACCCTCTGAAGCCCTGAACGCACTCGTACAACTTCGCAACGCCTTGTGAACTTTTACGGGCCTCATTGCTTGGAGGGTCGGGGGACTTAGTAAGTAGGTAGTAAGTAGACGTATAAGTACCCTAACAGGGACCCTAATTGGGGTTATGGTACTTATAAGTCCCTAAAATAAGCAGTTACTAAGTCCCTCGAACCTCCAAGTATCAGCCTGGTGGGATGATGGCCCAACTCCTCTCGACGGCTACTTGTCATGTACTTTTGGAGTCCAGGTAAGCCCTAAAACCTCCAAGCCTCTGAAACTGTTATACTGTTATACTGTCAAACCCTAAGCCCCCTCTACATAATGATATGGCCTAAAACAGTTCAACCCTAACCTCAACCTTACTACATCGAACGCCCTCCACCCTGAACCCCCCCCAACCCCAAACCCCAAAACCCCTAAACCCCAAACCCCTAAACCCCAAACCCCTAAACCCCTAAACCCCCAGACCCCTAAACCCCTAAACCCTAAACCCCCAAACCCCCCTAAACCCTAATCCGCTAAACCCTAAACCGTCTAGATCCCTTAAAGGAATCCCTATAGTACCCTGTAAAGGAACCCTAAACCCGAACCCCCCCGCCGTTTCAACCCCCCCCTAAACCTGTAGGCTCCGGCCCCGGCCGCCGATCCCTTCGGCAGCTCCGGGGACGAGGCTCCAGGTTTTTACTAGGATGCCCAGTACTAATGTTCTTACGGGTACTTGGAAATCTTTTTTTAATTTTTGGTTATTATAATCCTTAAGATACAGCTAAAATTACAATTATTGTTAGGGTTCTAAGTTCAGTATAGTGTTGATGATATTAAATGCTGCATTACTTGAAGGACCCTTAACTATGGGAATTATGGTAGATTCCTAGGTTCTCAGGGTTTAGGGATTAGGGGGTTTAGGGTTCAGGATTTAGGGTTTAGGGGTTTAGTGTTTTTTGGGTTTTTAGGGTTTAGGGACTAGGGGGTTTAGGGTTTAGGGGTTTAGGGTTATTAGGGGGTTCAGGGTTCAGGATTTAGGGTTTAGGGGTTTAGGGTCTTTAATTTTGGGTTTTTAGGGTTTCGGGATTAGGGGGTTTAGGGTTCAGGATTTAGGGGTTTAGGGTTTTTAGGGTTTTCAGGGTGTTTAGGGTTTTTATGGTTTTTAGGGTTCAGGATTTAGGGTTTAGGGGTTTAGGGCTTTTAGGGTTTTTAGGGTTCAGGGATTTAAGGGTATGGAAGCGGTTGAGGGATTGGGGTTTAGGGATTTAGGATTTCGGGTTTAGGAAACCTTGCAGAAGACCTTAAACCATCATCCCCAACTCCAGCTCCTGGTGGGTTTAGTATTAGGCCATTAGGGTTTGGGGGTCTAGAGTAGTATTAGGGATTGGCTTTGGGTTGGGGTTTGGTATTAGGGTTTAGGGGTTTAGGGTCTAGGGGGTTCGGGTTCAGGGTTTAGGGGTTTAGGGTTTTAGGGCTTGGGGTTCCTTGAAAGGGATCCTTAAGGGTCTTGGCCCCCGGCGTGGTGGGAGGATGAGTACATTCCGGAGCCGGATCCTCCCATTCCGGATGACGTTTCATCCTGGCTAAACCCTTCGCCGCGGCACTTGAAACGCAGCTTCGCGATGTGCTGCAGTGCGGACGATTCGGACGAGTCCTCCTGAAGACTTGCGAACCCCAACATGTATGCAAATACCAGATTGCCCCCCACCTTGCTCACAGCGGCAAAGCACGCGAGCTGCACAGAGACCCTGTGTGCAAAATGCCACACACACCTTCCAGTGATCATAAACATCATAGGTCTCAAAGAACATGAATAGGTTTTACAACACTAGAACCACAATGACAGGCTTCGCCACCGGCGCCGACCAACGCGCCGGCACCTGCAAAGGCCACATGACCGCTGTAGCTTCGGGGCTAAGACCCTTAGTATCGGGGCCTTAACAGTTAGAATAGGGTCCCTTAAAGGAATCCTTGAAAGAATTCTATAAGGGATATAGAGTAGGGTTCTAAAGTAGGGGCCTTAATAACTAAAATACGGTTTTTGGGGTTCATTATATTGTACTTACAATAAGGAATAGTAGTGGTAATTATTCAGGTCAGGTCCCGATATTACGTCAGCCCCCCCAAATCCCAAAACCCTAAAATCCTAGACCTTCTGAAGCCCCTAAACCCTAGGACACCACAGTTGACTGTGGAAACTTAGTTCCCCAATACCCAACCTTTAAGCTGTTTGGCTTCTTGCAGTTTAATAGGAATCGTAAAGTTTAACCTTTCATTGTTGTGTCTTTTTGGGGAAGTAAGCTAATCCTCTTGCCACCTATTCGCAAAACCCGAGGCCCTCAGCTTTCAAAAGCGTGTATATGGGGGCTTGATTAGCTACCAGCATCATTCCTTGCGACTCCTGGTTGTAAAACTATAGTATATTGCAACCCTAAACTTGGTTCAAATTGCGATGTGTGTGATGTCGGCTTGTGCTTGGGGAGCAATGTACAAAGGCTCTGAGGCAACAAGTATTGCTGATGTTGTCTGGAACCACTTTCGAAGCACCCCCATGCTAAACCGCACGAACCCCAGCCGCTGCAGCCATAAGAGCCTTTCTATTTGCACTCGCGCAGCATGGTGTCAGGAAGCTGCAAAGACGCCATCACCGCCGACTGCCACCACGCAGGTGGAATGGGAAGCTGTTGAGGTTCCGGACCGTTCGTCGGATTTTGGGTTTGGGAGTTTAATGAAGGGGCCTAAATACTTACCAATAGAATTTGGGTGGTTCCTTATTGGAACTATAGTACAATGGCCCCAAAACCCTCTTCTAATTATTCACACCCCTACTATAGAACCCTACTATAAGTTCCTTACAGAACCCTTGCAAGGATCCTTGTAAAAGGGTTGCCTCTTCTAATTACTAAGGCCCCTAAAGTACGGTCGCAGATTTCGGGCTCGGGCTTTTAAACCCTGAGCCCTAAACCCTAAGCCCCGAGGGCTGTAGGGACATGAACCCTAAACCCTTGGGGTTTACTTTGAGGTTCATGGGTGGTTACAAGGGCTCCTTGAAGGAAACAGGCGCATAAAAAACCTGGTAGTTTCCTGCTTGCCTACGAGCATCCATGGGCAAGCCATATAATATTCACCCAGCCCTCATCCGTTCCCCAGAGCATCCATGAGAAACAGCCATGATAATTATCGTCCACCCAGACCTCATCCGTTCCACAGGGCACCCATGGGCCAAAACTATGATCACGTCCAACCAGACCTCATCCGTCCCTCAGAGCATCCATGGGCCATAGCCATGATTTCGTGCACCCAGACCTCATCCGTTCCTCTGCGCCCACGGGCCAAAACCATATTAACGTCCACGCAGACATCGTCCGTCCCCCACAGCATCCAGGTCCCAAAACAATGATAACGTCAGACCTCATCCTTCCCCCAAACCATCCATGGGTCAACCATGATAACGTCCACCTAAGCCGCATTCGCTCTCCAGCTCACCCACGGGTCAACCACCCTGACATCATCCTCTCCCCAGAATCCATGGGTCAGCTATGATAACGTCCACACAGACCTCGTCCTTTCCTCGGAGCATCGATTCGCCAACTCTGGCAACCGCAACCCAGACATCTGTCGCAGAAAAAGCCTACGGCGAATATTACCTATATGACTGGGGCTCAGAGCACAAACTCATGACGGCAGAGGTCCCAAGACTCCCTTCCCTCGTCGTCCCATGCGAGGCCAATCCAGATCTCTGTAGATAGCTAGATTCCTCTTTGAGTTCGTGTGGAGGTACCAACGGCCGCTTACGCAAGACTTCATTGAGCTTATGGCTGACATTTCCTAGTTCGTCATGCTGTTCTGATTTCCAGATTTTTAGCCCAAATATCAGCGTATGTGTAAAAGAGAACGGTTTTTGTGGCTGTTTAGACACTGCTCTATGCTTTCCTAGTTCTCTGGTTGTCAGCCTAGCCACCGAGTTCCGAACACGAAGTGCCCAAAATCCGAACGAAAAGCACTTCGCATGCATTTAGTTTTCAGGTTTTTTGTGCGCCGGTGACCTCCTTTAAGGGTCCCTTGAAAGGGGTCTATGGGCATTCTAGAAGGGTCTAGGGTTTAGGGTGTACTTGGAGGTTCATGGGTAGCTATAAGCGGGTCATAAGTCTCCTAGAACTTGTTGTAAGTATGGTTACCCAACTTATAACCCTACTTATAACTACCCATGAACCTCTGAGTAGGGGACGCAAATCCTAAACTCTAAAACAATCAGGTTGTGGGTTTTTGAAGTCGGCACCATATGGGTGGTTGTCAAAATTATGGTCCCTTTTTGGATCCTTATTATAATACGGCACCTAATATGTATTGTACCCAAAAAGGGACCATACTTTTGACAACCACCCTTCTGAAGCCATCTTGCAGACCCCACGTAAGGGTTCATGCTGCATCATGGGACTTAGTAACTACCTTAACCTACCAAACCCTACCTTTTTGTAGGTTCTTATTATAAACCCTAATATGGAATTTATAGGGACCCTACTTTTTTGTAGGTTTTGGTTGGTTAGGGTAGGGTTATGACTTACAACCGAGGCAAGTATGCTCATAGTTACCCTAAGCCCTAAACCGTATGACCCTAATTCAGATCTTTTCATGGGTAGTTATGAGGGTCCCTTTAAAGGGATCTATAGGGATTCTATAAGGGTATAAGGTTTAGGGCCTACTTGAAGGTTCTTGGGTAGTTAGAAGCAGGGTTATAAGTGGGGGAACTACGAAAATAATCCACATTCAGGGACACATAGCCCCACTTATACCTACCCATGAACCTTCCATGGAATGGCTGGACCGCGCGAATGAAAGTAGAAACCTTTGGATTCGTTTAACAGAGTCTTCCTGGAAGTGCGCTCAGTTCCTCAAAAGGCCGTCATGGAACTTGGGAAGGTCACGGACTATACTGGGTTCTTGTTGAGGCGTTTAAATTAAGTTACATTAATAGGGTAGACAATACGGCTTCCTTAGTATGGCAACGCAGCAAGAACCCGTACATTTCTCGCGAAAGGAACATTGCCACATGCGACGTTGAGACCAAGCCGGCGATACAGGCATACAATGTTGCTACGTGGCCCTTTATGTTGCTTCTTGGAACGCGAGGATCCGCCGTGAGTGCCCTTGGCAAAATGTGCCCGCAAACTGCGAGCCTGAAGACGCCTTACCGTAGCAGAAGTCTTTTTTGGTTCCAGGGCTTTGGGAGGATCCCGAGGGTTTAGGCACATAGCATCCCAGAGCCTAACCCCTCGAAATGTTGAACCTACAATTCAGTATTTAGACCTTCCTCAACCTTAAACCCTTGCTACCTGCCTGGGCTCAAAAGTCCTAGTTGTTCTGGTTAGAGGATTTGGGGTTATGTGCGAAATCTCCCAGAGACTCCAATATCCCTTAATTAAGGAATATTCCTTACATCATATTAGGGATCTTATTATAATTTAAGGTATATTCCTGAATTAAGGGATATTGGAGTCTCTGGGCTCTTATGGTTTAGAATGCCTGGATTCTTGAACAGAGGCAATTTCGACTCTGACTAACTATGACTAGAGTACGCAGAGTGTAACTACCCATGCATGCTAAACGAAAAGCTCAAACCCTACACTCTATAAACCCTAAACATGTATGGCTGAACCCTAAACCCTGAAACCCCTAAAACCCTGATGAACCTTCGAGTAGTCTGAAAAGATTAAGGCCTCGATAAGCGCGGAGACTCCCAGCCCCTTAACAATGGAATATCTCCTGAACTATAGGGATCTTTTTTCAAGGTCAACTATACCTGGGTTTGGAGTACCATACTTGAGTACTGTTTTGGTACCGGTTCCTTGAAGAACCAATATGAAATAAAAGTCTATACTTTTTCTCCCTGGTTACTTCAAAGTCCAGTGGAGTCTCTGGGTGCAGGCAGACCCCTTCGGCAGCAGCGGGGAGGAGGAAGCGCCCAAGCCGGTGCCGAAGAAGGCAGGTTTAGGGTTCGGGTTTACGTGTTAAGGGGGTTTTAGTTTGAGAGGTTTATGCTTTGAGGTTTTGCGTTTGGGGTCAAGGGGTTAGGGATTTGGGATTTAGGACAACTTAGGATTTGGGTGTTTGGGGAGTTTAGGGTATAGTAGGCTTAGGCTGATATCTGAATCTGACGGCGTCAGGGCTTAAGGTCTAGATTGCCGGCTAGCACTTATTTGAGTTTTGTTTCCCTATTATTAAAGCTGAATACCAGAAAAAGGGGTACCCTCAATATAATGGGGTTACTTAAGCTTTAGTACCCTTGAAGATCCCTTTAAAGGACCCTTATAGTACCTGATTGAAACTGGTACCCTTATTATCAAGGGGACGATGGGGAACCGAGGCTTCAGGGCTTAAGGTTGGAGCTCAGAGCTCTACAGATTTAAGGCCTTCGGCCTGCAAGGGGGATCTGCAAAAAGCACTTAAGCGTCGTGGTATAGTATAGTATATACTTCGGCCTTAAAGTACCCGTATAGAAACCCCATTAAGGCCTAGGTATAAATAGCGCATTGACCCTTAGGATCAGCGCTAGCAAGGTTTCATTTCGACGTTTAGAGTTTGAAAGTTGTGAGCTTACGATCAAAATGCAGGGCTTGCGCAAGTGAAGCGCGAACGTTCAGCTCATGGTTTCAATCTGAAGTCTGGGGCTTAAGCGTTTAACGTTCAAAGTTTAGGGTTAGTGGCCCAAAGAGCTCAACACCCTTCTATGAAAGACTATGTCAGAATATCAAAGGCCTACTATTCCGTATGGCTCATTACTGTACTATAACTTCAGTATAACTTACTCGAAACCATGTTCTTTGTATTGAGGGCCCTATAATATTCCTAGGTTCCCAGGAGTAGCATTTTTTCCTTTGTGTTTTAAGGTTTCCTTATTAGCACTGGCTACTGGGAGAGAGGGTACCCTTCTCATCAGGTGGACGCCGGGGAACCCAGTGAAGGTTCGAATATTGCCCAGAGGCTCCATACATACCTCCATTACGACAGTAGGTCCGTAAGCCAGTTTGGGACCGAATTCCAACGAGGAGCCTCTGGGTTGAGGCCCCTATATTACCATAGGTGAGAGAGGGATCCGCACGTGGTGAAAAGTGTACTCCTATCCCCGGGGCACACTTTCAACTCTATGTTTATCCTGAAATATGAAAAGCACTCTATATAGGCTGACTCCAGGCTTTGGCGAATGTCTGAATCACATAAGCTGCCTTCCCTACATACCGTTAACTCTATGGAATACCACCACAGCGATATAGTCATAGTTCCTGCTCTGGGATAAAAGATCTCAACCGCAGGACGTGCGACGTGTCATCTCTGGACTTTCAGGGTCAACTTGCTTAAGATCTTGTCCAGAAGCTCTAAGCCCTAAGCCCTGCCCCTAAATGAATCTAGCTCTGAACTGTTGCCGCTGAGCCTTGAGCCGCACGCAGCTCCATGCTTCAGCACCTGACTTGGTGGGTCGGGGGACTTAGTATATAGACTTGTACGTATCATAGCCCATATTCGGGTCTCTTTTATGGTAATTTTGGGTCTACATACTACGCACTGTAGTACCAAGTCCCACGACCCCCCAAGTAAACCAGAAGCACCCTGCAGCCGTAAGCCGTAAGCTGAAAAAGGTCCCGAAAGATGTAGAACTGCAAACCCTAAATTAAAGAAGTGGTAACTCCGCAGATGAGCCGAGCGAAGGGAGAAAAGAACATCGCACGTGTATATATACATAATATATATATATATATATATATATATATATATATATATGTGTATATATGTATAAGGCATACACAATTGCTTGCGTATGCATACATACATGCATGCATACATACAACAAATATACATATATATATGTATACATCAAGCTTGCCAGGCGAGCAAGAAGCCTGCCAAGCCGGAACCTTGGAGTGCTTCCAACAGGACAGGGGTTCACGGCTGTTGGGTTTGGGAGTGCTGTGCTTTTATGACTGACAACTTCGCCCACATCAACATCATCGTCGTTCAAGTCGTCGTCATCATCTACCGCAGCCCAGTGGTAAGCGTGTTTGGGGAATTTTTTCGAGGTTAGGGTTCTGTGGTTTGAAGGCCAGTCAGAAACAGGCTGAAAGCCGTCAGCCCATCTCGGTTCTAAACCAAGCGTTCGTCCCCTAATACAAGGGTCGATTCTTTGCAAATGATATCACCTTAGAGTCCCTCTGCTAGTAGTTATGGTCTCGTATCCTGGAGTCACTCTGTGCAGATGTTATCATATAACCCCCAAAACTGACTATTAAGGACTACTAAGGCCCCTATATCACTTGGAGGGTCGGGGGACTTAGTAGGTAGGTAGTAAGTACACTTATAAGTACCCTAACAGGGACCCTAACTGGGGTTATGGTACTCATAAGTCCCTAAAATAACCAGTTACTAAGTCCCCTAAACCGGAAACCCTTACAGAATCCCTATAGGTCCCTTTAAAGGACCCCTTTAAAGGAACCCCTTATAGTTACTAAGTCCCCCGACCCTCCAAGCAATCTTTGAGCCGCTCATGGCACACTTGGCCCAAAGCACCTCCCGTTGAAGGATTGTTGAAGTATTGGGTTTAAGAATTTGGGGTTTAGGGGGTTTTGGGGTTTAGGGTTTAACGGGGTTTTAGGGTTTTATGGGCTTTGGGGTTTTATGGGTTTAGGGTTTAGGGGGGCTTTAGGGTTTAGGGTTTGCGGGGTTTATGGGTATGTCTGCCTGGCGCTCGCGTGTCGCTGTCATTTCCGGCAATTTCTCCCGCCTCTGTCCTGCAGTTTAAAACGTTTCAGTCTGAGCCCGGACACCCCAAACATCCCAAAAGCCCCAGAAGAAGAAGCATCCTCATACCACCTGCATGAAGTACCCGGTAACCTCAAACTGTCCCTCGAAACGTGAGGCAAGGCTTTTCAAACGTGGCGAAGCACGTACAAATCCCTTTCAAAGACACTGTAAAGCATCAACATGAAGCAGTCATCCCGATACTAAACCCTAAACCCTAAATCCTATAACCCCTAAACCAACAAACCCCCAAAACCCTAAAGCCCCTAAAGATCCCCAAACTCCTATAGAGCCCTATAAGGGAACCTCTATAGGACCAGGAACCCCTATAGAATCCTTTATATCAAGGAGCCCTTAAAGAACCTAAAGGTCCCGGCCTGCAGCGCCCAAGCCCGAAGCGGCAGCGCCTGCCGCGGCGACTCGGACACAAAATGGAAGTTCAGAGCACTTACTATTAGGGTTTAGGGGTTTAGGGTTTGGGGGTTAAACCCTAAACCTTGCAGAAGGCCTTAAACCATCATCCCCAACTCCAACTCCTAGGGGTTTAGTTTGAGGGTTTAGGGATTAGGGCCTGGGCTTGGAGTGCCATACTTGAAGACTTTTTTGGGGTACTAAAACTACACATCGGCTGTTTCGGCCAACACTTGACCACCCGTAAGGCGCTGTGGGGGTCGGCAGTCGTTGTAATAGTAGCAGCAGCAGGAGGAAGAGGGCAGCAGCAGGAGGAAGAGGAGTAGTAGTAATAGCAGTAATTGCAGTTGCAGAAGCACTCGCAGTAGGGGTAGGACGAGTCGTAGAAGTAGTAGCCGGCACAGAAGAGGAGGAGGAGTAGGAGTATGTGTAGGTGTGGACATAGCTTGCAGCAGCACAACAGCAGCAACGAAGCGTATCAGATACTCCAGCCCGTCATGCAGCAGGTAAGGTTTTGTATTGAATAATTGGCCCATGTCTTATCGTGTTCACCCCGAAAATCAGAACTGACGGGTACGTGTTTCAGGGACGCGAACTTCTCCTGATAGGTTTTCGTCTGTAAATATCATGGACATCATTACCACGTATTCACACTCCTTCATATTGTGGTTCTGATTTCCGTTAATCTCAAACCCTAACCTGGGTGTGGAGTACCATACTTGAATACTTTGTTTTGCTACCTTCTCCTTAAAGGAACCATTATGAAATTAAAGTCTGTACTGTTTTCTCCCTGGTTCTCAAACCCTAATGCCAAAAAAACCATGAACCCTAAAACCTAAACCCCTAAATCCTAAACCTTAAAGCCAACAAAAACATGAACCCTGATCTCCTTGCCTTCACAGTGAGGATCCCTTCGCTGATTCGGATGCAGACGCTCCCTCAGGTGCCACGAGTAGGGCTCCAATATACTCAAGAGCTTGGGCTTCGGGTTGAGGGTTTAGGTGGTTTAGGGCTTAGAGTTTAGGGCTTAGGGTTGAGGGTTTAGGGTGGTTTAGGGTTTAGAGCTTACGGCTTAGGGTTGAGGGTTTAGGGTGGTTTAGGGTTTAGAGTTTAGGGCTTAGGGTTGAGGGTTTAGGGTGGTTCA